CAGATTCAGCCCCTCGGCCGAGATGCTCCTCCTCACCCTAGCCGGTGCTACCTCCACCCTCGGCGGCGGGTCCCGCGAGAAGCAGACCACAACAACCGTCAGGTTATCACACGTGTTCCTCTTCAGGGCCTCCCGAACCAGCTCCCTCGAGCATCTTTCAGGGTCATTATGGAGCATCAGCTCCTTACGGGCCATGCTGACCGCGCACTGGCTGCTCATCACATCCCACAGCCCATCACAGCCCATTATCAAGAACTCGTCATCCTCACTCAAGAGGGTCTCCTGCAGCTCGGGCTCCGCACTAAGCGGGCAGGCCGAGCCCTTCGGGCCCTTCATGTGCCAGTCCCCAAGGGCCCGTGAGACCGACAGCTGGCCGTTGAGGTAGCCATCGTAGATTGCCCCGCCGAGTTTCTCGATTCGGAGCCGCTCGGACGTGTAGTTGGGCTTGTGGTCCCGAGACATCTCGATTGCTTTCCCGCGCTTTCCGAGCACTGCTCGGCAGTCACCAGCGTTGGCCACTATCATTTTTCTGAGGAAGGAAAAAAAAAAGGCGGCTCGTGTCAAATTCAATTTTATGGGGTCGGGCAATTTAGCAGCTATAATAATATTAAGGCAAAATTGCAATTTTTTTAGTCCTGTTGGTTGTTGGTTTGATCCAGTGGCGTTTTTAGTCCTAAAAATTGAACATTTTGCTATTTGGTCCTATAATTTTAAAATTCAACACAATTTCAGTCCTTTGGGACTGGAATTGCAACAAAATTTAAAATTACAGGACTTAAATTGCTAATAAAAAATCTTTGGGATTGATTTTTGATTAGCAATTTAAGTCCTGTAATTTTAAATTTTGTTGCAAAATACTAAATTACAGGGATCAAAAAGACAAAAAGTTGAAATCTTGGGACTAAAAATGCTATGGCGTTAAACCAGCAGGACTAAAAATGCAATTTTGCCTAATATTAACAGAGAAAGCCACATTACCTTCCAGATATGAAAGCAGTCAAAGCAGTGGTGCCGGAAGATATGTCGACAGAAGTGTCGTCAGCGAATGTGTAATCGGCTTTGAGATAGGCGCTTTTGATTGCTTTCTCCAGGCATGCCGGGAAGAAGGAGTTGTCTACTATGTACTTGAGGATATTGGTTCGCACGAAACACGCTGCATCTGTGCCTCCATGGCCATCAAACACCTACTAACGTATAAGCGTGTCGGTAATTAGTAAGAGGTGGTGTAATTAGCAGAAATATACTATGAACTGAAATGGGGTTACTCTCAATGTACCAAATTTCAGGGCATCTGTGGGAAGAAACCAGTTTTCTTTTGTTTCTTTTTGAAGAAAAGAAAAGGTAAAACCCATAAAAACTTTCACACAAGTTGTCGCTAAAACATTATCTATACAAATTATTAATTTTCATTTGGAGTTGAATAATTACAATATCGAACGTAGAGAGTGCAGAGTTTTGTCACCATGACGAAGGCAACATATTTCAAGTTACCAAATAAAGCAGCACTGACCCAATTCNAGACGGAAAAAAAAAAAAAAGAAAAAAAGGGAAAAAATCTTGTACATCTTAACCCCATCAAGAGAATTAATTAAATACTCTTCAACAAGACCAAAAGATGAATGCACATCTGCAAAATTTTAACTTACCCCGTAGAAAGCTCCAGGTGAAGGGAAACTCGCAGTATCACCTAAATGCAGAGGCAAATCATCGATGCAGATATGTTCGTCCTCCATGTACTGCTTAGGTCCTTTCTCAGCACAACTTCCAGAGCGAAAGACTGGTACATAGTTTGATACTAAATCTGATGGGGAATTGATTGCAGTCACTCCAGTGCAAGAATCCTTGTAAGTTTAACAAGAAAGCGTTAGCGTATTTTGAGTGGATCACACAGCAAGAGAATTCAAAACATAAGGTATCTTATTTAAGGTGGCCGTAGAAATTACAAAAGAAGACTTCATATACATTTACTTATATCGTGAAGGCAACAATAAATCTGAAGGCTTTTCCTAGTTCATTTCCACCTTTTAGAAAAGCCAAAAGCTACTACGTAAAGAAGCTGCAAACCAAAACTGTTTCCTGCAATAGAGGATGTCCTAACTAACTCCTAAGGCATGGAAAATTTATTTACGCCTTATACTTTATTATTTCATTTATAGATTAGTTCTGCGTCTCGTATTTGTTTTACCGTGGTGTTTCCGTATGGAAAAATTATGATGTATATGTTTGATTAGTCTGCTAATGAGATTAATAGGTGCATAATGTTGATTTGGGTATAAGTTTGGAGAATAAAAGCAAATATGTTTTATGAAATGAGAAAGTGCATCTATGAGTCTCAACTCATATAACCAGTGACTGGATGCACGAATCAATAAATGCTCAGCTAATGGACCTTCTTGGTGAGATGGCTTCTTTATTCCTGGAAAATTTATTTACGCCTTATATTTTATTATTACAATTTTGGAAAGCCACAACCATAACTGTTTCCTGCCATAGTGGATGTCCTATGGCATGGAAATTTATTTGCAACTTATATTTTATTATTACATTCTTCTGGAAAGAAGCCCAATTGTCATCTCACCGAGAAGGTTCATTACCATTAGCTGACAACACGTTCATTTATTGACTTGTGCATCCAGTCCCAAGTTAGCATTTCTATGAGACTCACATATGCACTTTTGCATTTCATAAAGCATATTTACTTTTATTATCCAAACTTATACCCAAACCAACGTCTCACATATTTTCATACACCCATTAATCTCATTAGCCAACTAACCAAACATGTACATCATAATTTTTCCACATCGAAAACACCATGTAAAACAAATACTAAACCCAGAACTAATCCATAAATCTTTCCATTTTTAAAATGAAGAAGAAACATTTCATTTATTGGAAATTTGGAACATGAAAAAAGACCAAACAGGACTAATGATTCCGAAATTTTGCACAAGAAAATGAAAGTTCAGTTATCATTCAGTTTATTCTGTTAACGAACAGGTCTACTTGGCACTCGGACAATTCTATTAGAGTTCCTATAGAACTTCAACTAAATCCAGATATCAACATACTATACCAAATTAACTCACAGAAAACGCTTCATGCTCAAGAATAATTTTGTTAGGAAAGCCCAATGCTAATTCCAACTTCTTAACAAGAAACACATTCCTGATAAAAGTAAAGTGCAATACAACATAATTTTCCTCACCAAATCAGAGGGCGGTACCAAAGTGGTGGTGCTTATAGAATGCCTTACGACCGAGACATGCCGTGGTGGTCTACCATTCAATGTCTGCTTCAGCTCATCCGAGCTTACGGTTATCTCATCTTCCACAACAGAAACTTCACTATCACCACTTTCTATATTAGCAAAAGGAGGCGTACAATCAGTATCCGCAGCCATGCTCGTCACAAATCATGAATTCTAGCTTCCTTCTACGAGATCAATTACTCAAAACGATCCTGACTTTGGGAAATGACTGTGATCTAAATAGATTTTGTCTTGAAGATCAACAAACTCGAAAAAATGACAGAAAGATTAACTCAAATGCCCTTTTCTTTAACAGTCACGCAATTATCTCAAATCCCTCGCCCGAGATCAGAAACCATTAAGCAAACCATAGACACACTCTCAATCATCAAACACACACTAACCCAACGAAACACCAACAAATGCAACCCTGGAAAATTCTATCAAAAATGACAAGGAAAACGAAGCTGGCCCATATGAANAGAACACAAGAAAAGATCCAACCCTGATTGGTAACAAGACGCAACAGAATCTGCCTCGGATTAAAGAGAGTATCAAACTATCAATTCAAATGCGCAAAATAATCAACACGAGAAACTGAAGCAAAATCCCTTCCCCAAACGGGAAATCGAAGACAACAAATGATTAAAAAACAGAGAAGATCATGAAATTGGTTGGACGGAAAAATTATTGGTGTCTGCAATTATTACGAAATCGAAATGAAAAGCTGCGAGGATTTTTTGGTTAAATTCGATGCGGTTCGTTTACGACAGGTGAAAGGGGTGTACTTTACCGACACGTGGCTTTCGTTAGTTGGTGCTCGCTGGATTCACAAGATGGCCAACTGCAAATGCTTCCCATCCCTCCGATCAAGTGCGTGAGATTGATTTGGCGGTTGGGATTTGGCCGTGGGTCTACTAGCCTTTTTGCGATTTTGCAGGTGGTGTGCAGGGTATGGGATTGGGTTGCGTGTCGGATTACGATTGGTTGCGTGGGTTTTCGGCTAAGGTGAAACGGTTTCACGCTAAATTGTTACCTACCCGAATCCGATACCTCACACAAATTAGTCCGCCAATAGTAAGGGGAAATGCTATTATGGAACTATCCCATTTTTAAGGAAATTTTCATCTATTTTACAAGATTATGAAAATATTGTAAAAATACAATCCATTAAAAAATAATTACATCTCTACCTGACGGTTTTGCTATGAAACCAACAGTTGACTCTATAGTGGAACCAACCTTCTATATACAACAAATAAACCTAATATAATTTCATTAATATAATAGATTTATTTGTTGTATATAGAAGGTTGGTTCCACTATGGAGTCAATTGTTGGTTTCATAGCAAAACCGACCTACCTAATACATAATATATTTTAAGAAAGTTTTTATTTATCCTACAAGATTCTGAAAATATTGTAGAAATACAATACATAAACAAATAGTCTGTTACCATATCCATTCAACCTTCATCCCCTTTTTATGGGTTTGATTAAGAGAGAAATGAAAAACATGCATATAATAATAACTAACTCCATTAATTCCTTAATTCATGCAGTTTGTATGGTTTTAATAGAGAGAGATAAAAACATGTATTGTAATTTTCCTTTAATTCCTTATTTCGCGCAGCTTGTATGTTTTTAATAGAGAGAGATAAAAACATGTATTGTAATTTCCGCTGTTGTCCAGGTGGGTGTATGGTGCTTTTATGTTAGAATATATTCAGAGAGAGATAAAAACATGTATTGTAATTTTCGCTGTTGTCCAGGTGGGTGTATGGTGCTTTTATTTTAGAATATATTCAGTATATGTTGCAATGAAAAATATGTCTTCCATAAAAATTTTTTTTTTTTTTTTTTCTTTTATACATAAAATATATATGATAGTATTCCTCTAATAAAAATATATAAAAGAAGTGCAATACAATATAATATTTCTCACCAAATCAGAGGGCGGTACAAAATACAATCACCACTTTCTATATTAGTAAAAGCTGGTGTGTGTACAGTCAGTATCTGCAGCCATGCTCGACACAAATCATGAAATCTAGGTTTTTTTTAACAAGATCAATTGACTCCGATCTCAAACAGATTTCGTCAATAAAAGAACCATTTAAAGATAATCAAACTCCAAAAAAATGACAGAAATTCTTCTAACCCTGATCAACTCAAATGCCCTTTTCTTCAACAGTCACCCAATTATCTCAAATCCCTTGCCACAAACCATTGAGCAAACCATACACAACCTTTAAAATCAACAAAACACACTCACCCAACAAAACACGAACACATGAAACCCGGGGAATTCTATCAGGATCAAGATTCAGGTGCCCAATACGAAAAAACAAAAGAAAAATGAAGCTGGCCTAAATGAAATATTTCACAAAGTTGCCTCTTAAATTACACAACTAGCAACATTTCGATACGTCAGACTATCATTTTTTTTCTTTTTCAAACATTTATAAATACTTCACACTAAATGTCATACATCAGAAAATAACATAATAATGTCATACATCAGAAAATAACATAATCAGAATCATGACATTATACAATGTATGTATGCATTTTCATTAGAAAATGTATGATGTGTTGATGCGTCTAACCATTGGAGAATTTGTAAAATTGCAAAGGCAAGCACATCATGTTTTCTGTTCTAAGTGATACAATTGCAAAAGGTTGCATTTCTGATGTAAGATTCATAGCCTAACATTATTCAAACAGCTAATAGCATAAATGGCTTCGAATGCAAGAACTAATCAAACACTGCCAAACAAAGTAAAGAGATAGCTACTTATTGATACACATGAGGATGGCCCTAAGTTTAAATTTGGGGCTGTAACCTAAAAAACCTCAGAGAAAGTTATAAATTGCATCATATAAGCACAATAGGGAAAGAAATTTAGTTCTTACAACGGCAAAATGTTTATCTGATTGATCTGTTGCATCTTAAATTTATCTGTTGCATTGAGTAAATCGAAATGTTCTCATATCATACACTCTTAAAATTCATTTCAAAACAATCGAGAAAGGCATGGAACTAGTGTTTAAGTCCATATATCTGATTAGTTCACAAAACAAAAAATGACTATTTTGAGTAAGGCATATTACAGCAAACCATTCCTATGCAATCTTCAAAATAGAGATTATGCTTTTCCTTTGTAGGAAATCATAAGAGGATTCTAGTAGTAATATCTTAGTTTAATCACTATCTATCCCCACAGCTCCTGTAACTAGCATCGAATAAACTAGATCATAAGCATATATTACAGCCTAAATCGTGAAACTGATCGTTTCACCAAATACAATCAAATAACTGCAGATGAATAGTACATCGCGAGTCTATGATGATTCAGCTGTGTTCTCACCTAGTCGAATCTTATTAAAACTAATGGAATTCTTGCATTTCAGCACAATAATAATATGTAACTTACCCTTTTTTAAATTGAATTGTGAAGAGTAAAATACAGTGGCCCAAATGATTTATGTCTAAAACAAAATTAAGCCTAAAAGGGGGAAAAAGAAGGCAAGTCAACATCATCTATATATATTCGAGAGGCAAAAACATCCTTCCATCGATCCTCCCACAGGTGCTACAATGCTAGAAATTTGCAACTGAACACTGTGCAAAGTTGTTCTAGGATCAATAAACTATTGGACATGTAAAACACACAAGCAACACAATTAAGATTAGAGAATGAAAATCTGAGGAAAATCATTTGGGGGTGGAATACATACTGGTTTTGACATGGACTTGGTAACCATGTATAATGTATACATTAGTTGATTGATAAGATACCTCGTCATTTATTCCATCTTCGGGAAATACAGTGTTTACAAAGCTCGGCAACATCCTCATTCAGAATTCCCGTGTATTGGTCCAGGTAAATCAATTTCGTTTTATAAAAAAAAAAAAAAAATCGTAATATTTCATGCCTTTGTTGACAACACCACCTGCTTGCACAAGACCTCACTTCCTTGTATAATCAATACTCTTCCCAACTCATTTTCCGTCCTTGAATTCCTCCATCCAGCACAAGAACATCCCACATACCTACACAATGTGGATACATGCAAATCAGCATCTGATCCTTGCAACATCCGATGCTAAATCATATTCTCCACAATTATTGAGTATTCCGATTATATCTTCAGCCTGAACAGACTTTACACGGATTTTCCTCTGGATCATAACTCTAACCAGCTTCCCAACTTCGACAAAACGATTCTCCTGACACAGACCCTCCAGCAGAAACGTATAAACATCAGAATCAATACCCAACAAATTTCCTGATTTCACAAGCCCGTCCAACAACAGAAATCCCTCCATCACCCTCCTTTCTGAAACCATCTTCTCAATGACTGCACCAGATGCATGCCCTCCGGGCCTCAGCCCACGGGCCATCATCATCCTAAACACTTTCTCCGACTCCTTATGCTTCCCAGCCCGCATCAATGATACCACAAGCCAGCTACGAAGCTCGTCTTCCCGGCCCACAATAGAGCTAAACCTATCTACCACATCAGAAGCCTCCTTCACGTGCCCTTCCCTGCAGAGCCCATCAAGAAGAGTTATGAAGGTCACCTTGTTTGGCCGGACTCCGAAATCCTCCATCCGATTCAGAAGCCTCACAGCCTCAAGTGACCTCCCTTTCTCAACAAAACCCTTGACCATGATCGTGTAGGTCACCAGATTCGGATTGCTCTCCCCATTTTCACTCTCCATACCGGTCAAGAACTCGAGGGCCAGCTCAAGATTCCCGTGCAAACATATCCCATCAAGAAGGGTGGAGTACACGACTGCATTCGGTTCACACCTGTGCAGTTTCATGGTCTTGACCAATCCCAAAGCTTTCTCCACCTGCCCCGAGTCGCAAAGCCCCTTGATGATGGACATGTATGTCACCATATCAGGATAGAGATCGATCAGCCCCATTTCCTTCATCAGCCCCAAAGCTTCATCTAGCCGAGCATTCTCGGCCAGGAGCCGGACCACCACGTTGTAAGACACAGTGTCCGGCCTGCAGTTAAATTCCTTCATCTTCCTCAAAACCCGCAGGGCCAATTCCGGGTTATTGGCGGCCCGACACATATTCAGAACCACTTTGAAAGTCTTGACGCCGACGACGGAGCCCTCGGCTCTGTATGTATCTATGACGTCGGCAATGATTTTAGGGTTCCGGTCAACGCCGAGCAATTTGCAGGCACTGAAGTACATGTACGATGTGTGCCGGTGGGTGGGGTGAAGTGCGGCCCAGATGAAGAACCTGATGCCCAATTGGGGCTTATTGGCCGCGCACTTTTCTAGGACCTGTGTGATGCATTTGGAATCCAGCTTGGCCGTGAGAGCGTCGAGGGTTTTCTCGACGTGGGGGGCGTCTTTCTCGAGGACGGACATGAAATTTTCGGCCGCCGATGAAGAATAGGAGTTGAAATCGAGGAATTTATGGAGTGAGCGGTTGGGGGATTTGGGGGCAACTGAGGAAGAAGCGTACCGTGTGACTGAGAAAGAAATCGCCATTTTCAACGACTATTAAAAGAGAAGAACAAAGGTAGGGACCGTAAGGTGATAGGTTTAGATCTCAGCGGCGGAGGGTGGCGGCTTGCGGCGGGAGCCGGGCTCCTTCGATTTGAAATCTGTGACAAACAGCCTCAAACAAGGCCTAATTTTTCTGAATTGAATCAATTTAATACTTGAATTTATTTTACTTTTACTAAAGTTTTATTCTTAATTTAAGACTTATTTTTTTTTAATTAACCTTAGTCAGATTTAATTGGGCCAAATCGGATTTAATTTCTAGACTCAGCCACACCTCATAAACAAAAATACATACTTGTGCTATCAAATGTAGTATTTTGTTAAAGTATTGTTTATAATGTTATTAAAATAATATTACATTTCTAATAAAAATATACATTTTTTTATCCCAACTAATCAGCCTAACATAAAAAACAATTTCGTAACAGAAAAGATCAACGTTAGCCACATAAAAAAACCCGACATAATTGCATTATCACTTTCCGGTGGATTTTACCTTTGCCGTTTGCCATCCTCGATCTCATCGACACAACAGAAA